ACACATTGTCTCGCTTCCTGCCAAATTGCTCAGACTTTTTTTCTTTCTTCCCACATCTTTCCTCATCACCCACCCGAATTCCAAATTCTTCTTCGCCTTTTTGCAGGAAAAAGTGGCAATTACACCAAAGTCAGCACAGTCCATCTTTACAAATTCATTCTTATCAAAGAGTCTCAGGAGGACAAAAGAGCCCTCATTTTTACATAGGCCATCAGGTTTACAAGGCAAGACATGGTTTTATGTTGCAATATTTATTTTCCTCGATTACATTTAAAGAGGTCTGTTAAAGGTAAGACAGCAGGTCCAAAATGGAGTTGCTAATGCTAAGCACCCATCACCAAACTGAGATCTAAGTTAATTACAGCTTGGGCTCCCCTAGAAATGGAATCTTAAACCAGTCAGTCAGGAACTACCTGACCAACACTAATTAGGTAATCTGCTGATAAACCTCTGCCATCCCCTGTAAAGAAAATAACCTGGCAATAACCAGTCTACTTTTCTGCTTAGTACAACTTCCTTACTCATGCTCCCTTTTGCCTATAAAAGTCTTTTCATTTTGTACAGCTCCTCAGAGCTTTTTTCTGTCTGCTAAATTGGATACTGCCCAATTCATGAATCACCTAATAAAGTCAATAAGATCTTTAAAATTTACTAAGTTGAATTTTGTTTTTCAGCAGGGTGTAACACATAGCAACACCTAAGTAAGTGGTAGATATTAATAAATTGGTAATATAACACAATTACATAAGAATAATCATAGTAATTGTTAAGACTAATCAAATGAAAAAAATTGTGTTATACATTTATGTCAAACACCTGCAATTTTAATTTCTTTCATCAGAAGGACTAATTTATCTGGCTGAAATTGTATTTTTAATACTTAACACAATACTGGATATAACACTTTGAATTATGCAGCTGAACACCTTAGCTCCAAGAGTGATATATAAACTGAGAGTGATTACTTGCTAGACACAAATATAATAACAGCCCTTCAAAATTATCTACCCGATAAATAATTTCATCTTGACAAACTGATGCAGTTACTAAAATGATTATCTATCTATCCGTTATATCAGTCTGCCTGTCTGTCTGTTTCTAAAGGAGAGCAAAGAAAATGATAGGGGTGTTGCCTTATTTTAAAAACAAAGTGCTAATATTACACTGTATGTTCACTAACTGGAATTTAAATAAAAACTTAAAAAAAAAAACAAAGTAAACATTAGAAAGCACATTATTTCTCCTCTCTCCTGTCTTTTGTTTAGACCCTGTTGACATCTTTATTTTTACCTTGCCTATGTTTTGCCTTGGGTCTTAAGCAAATCTCATTTGTGTTTTGGCATCTTAGTCCAAGGGCAACTCTACATGTGAAGTCGTCTTTGTTTTTCCGTATATATTGTCATGTTATTTTCTGAACAACTATAATTCTGGTTTATGATGAAATTTGGTACTGAATGAAATGCTGTCCTGTGCTACTCAGAATTGTCCCATATACTTTAATTTTTTGGTTGCTAACAGTATGTAAACGCCAAGAGAGTATTTTACTTCTTTTACATCTACCTCCATAATATCTTATTGTTTAGCCTTGTGATTGATATCTAAACAGTACTAAGTGCACAAGTTTTTAACGTATTTGATAGATATTTCTTAAAAATCTTATGGCGGGGCGCCTGGGTGGCTCGGTCGTTAAGCGTCTGCCTTCGGCTCAGGTCGTGATCCCAGGGTCCTGGGATTGAGCCCTGCATCGGGCTCCCTGCTTGGCAGGAAGCCTGCTTCTCCCTCTCCCACTCTCCCTGCTTGTCTTCCTGCTCTCACTATCTCTCTCTCTGTCAAATAAATAAATAAAATCTTAAAAAAAAAAAATCTTACGGCACAGCTTTTGAAAACACCAGTTTAGAGAATAGAAGACTTTTTCTCAATAACGTCTCCTGCAATATTTTGAGAAAGCATATTTTAAAACACAAGACTGGCATGCAATAAATTCTAATGCCTGTTTCTTGATTTTGAATTTATATGTAGAGTTCTGTCATATCAGCCAGACAATTCCATGATGATCTGAGGAAGTCATTCTCTGTGTTCCAGTGATATAACACTCTAGATAAAATCTTGCATATTAGAGTCTCTTTTCCAATTTCAAACCATGAAAGCAGCATAAGGAAACAAACCAACCAACAAATAAACAAATCTATAAAAAATGATTAACAAATTATAATGAAACCTTTTTATAATTGAATAAATTAAATAATTTCCACATTATGCTATTTTCTTAAGTTAGGGAAACATTTATTCTTCAGTGTTTCACTTAATTAAGTAGTTAATAGAGACAAAAATAATTGGTTTATTTTAGTCGGTAGCTTAAACCTAAGAAAATCCTTAGTCAATAATCTGTTAGGTACTGCATGCTATCTATAATGTGATAAACAATTATTCACATTAATGGGAAGAAAGAAAAGCGGATCTGTAAAATCAGTTTAATTTGGCTTCGAATACATCTTGATTCATGTGTGTCAGCATTTCTCAAACTTGGCACTATTGACATTTTGGACTGGAAAATTTTTTGTTCTGGGGTCTGTTGTACATTGTAGGATGTTATCAGCCTCTCCGGCCTGTACCCAGAAGAGGACACCAGTATACCCCTCAGTGGTCTCCAAAAAATGTCTCCAAACATTTCCCAGTATGCCCTGGAAGGATGGAAAGCAAACCGTCTCTGGTTAAGAGCCACTGACACATATACAGCTGTTTTGTTTTGTGAATGAAAGGTTCACAACATTTCACTTTAAATGACAAATCAATCTAAAGATCTGATACAACCTAACTGATGGTCATATCTTACCAATGTAACTCAAATAAAACTGAACTGCTTCTGTGCTAGGCTTAGCTGGTGGCCTCAATAATAGATAAGATCAATCCATTGATTAATAGACAGACCGACAGATACCATTTCCCACAAACCTTGCAACAAAAGGTTGTTTTAAGCAAACTTAAAGTTTACTTAAAGGCTTTTAGAATTAAAAATAATGGTAGATGGTAGATTCCAAGATACATCTCTTACTTGGCAGAGTTCTATTTAGGATTTTTGAGGAATCATGTTACTCTCATAACATATGGAAAGTTATTTTCTCCCAGCTTCAAGGTCCTAAGACAACTGCATAATGTAAGTATAATTTCAAGTAGTTATGGGTCCTAACTATGGAGAGGACTAAAATGGTTAGCCAATGCAAGCTCAATTAAAGTAGATTTATTTAAAATTTGTTCTTAAGAGAAGATCTTGTTCTACATCGAGTCTTTTACTTCCATAAATTCCTCAGTTATAATTCCATCTGAAAGTATTCAGTATGCAGTTTTCCACACCTAAGAAAGTATAACCTGCCACTCCTTAAAAACTAAAGGCCCAGTTGTTTATTTAATATGCCTTCAAACTTTGACATCTTTCTACTTGATCGCCTGAAGTTTTGTGCTCTTGTTGTAATTCTTTATGTGAGAAGCAAGGAGATTTTAGAATTAACTCTTGAAATATTGATTATTATTGAACTCTTTAATCTCATTGAAAAAACTCGGCTAAAAATAGCAGGAATCTTCAGACCTTTGATTAACTTTACATCTGCCTTTGGTTCTATGGATATATGTCTTTTAAGCTCTGTGAGTTTAAGATAAGCCTCCAATTATTAATATGCTTGCAAAATCTACATCTATCGTATCATTGCCAGAATCAAGCAAGACAGCAATTTAAATGTATAAGAGAAAAATGAGTCTTGGACTTCCTTTTTACTTTCCAGCTAGATATTTTTGTATTCTTTTTCAAGGAATTGGATCATTGCCCACTTGCAAGAGTGAAGAGGAAAATAATTACCCTTCTTTATAATAAGGTCATGGTTTTATTATCATGAATCATGACAGACCTTAGAAGAATTATGAACATGATAGTTATCTATCAAGAAGAGGAGATTAACACTAATTATGATGACACAGGTACTTATTATTTCAGCAGCGCTCAATAATTCTCCAATATTTAAGTAGTTAATATTAACTAATTCCATTCAACAGAGCACTGTGCCCTGTTTGTGTCAGTCATATTTTGAATTATGCCAAGACACACTTATAAACACATCAAGAGACCACTATTTTAGTAATGACATGCCCTATGAGAATATTATAGAGGGTTTTTTTAACAATGGCTTTGGAAAATTGGTATCACTTTCTCTGGTACATTTCAATAATGGTATAAGTCTTATCATTTGTTAATTTTATTTCCAAAACAGTAGTTTTGCTTTTCATCAGCAATATAGAATACTACTAGTATTAGCAATAACAATTAATATTTAGTGAGTAATTACTATGTGCCAGACATCTTTCAGTATATTATCTTATTTATTTTCGAGGCAATTTTTGAGATAAGTATTATCTTTTGAGAAAGAGACTATCACTCCCACAGATGAGCAAACTCAGACAAGAGATTAAGTAACTTGCACAAGATCATACAGATGGTAAGTGGCTGAGCTGTGATGCAACCCAGAGAATTGACCAATAGCCAGTGGACTTAATCAGTGCTACATTATGTTGCCTGAGCTCCAAGATCCCACCAACAAATATAAAACTGAATCATCTAAGATCCATCTCCAATCAAAAACCATGCTTAAGAAAATAATAGGGTAATAAACAGAAGTGCTACCTATCCACTCTCTTCTGCCTAGTCCAGGCTGTATCTTTGAGTCAAATCAGAACACCAAAGGCCTCCTTTTATGATGATGATGATGATGATGATGATGATGATGAAAGGACTATCTCAAGAACATATGATTGGATTCATCATAATCCTTGTTCATCATGCAGTCTCATTATTCATCTAGGCATGGCTCACATTTTTTAGTTAATAAGTTAATTACTTTTTATAATGTGGTAAGCACCCAAACCAACTACCCAGTAGGACCTTAATAAAAAACCTCCATATAACTTAAAAAAAAAAAAAAAGTAAATAAAACTGTAATAAGAACTTAACTTCTATGCTCGCTTTGGCAGCACATGTACTAAAATTAGAACAATACAGAGATTAGCATGGCCCCTGTGCAAGGATGACATATGCCAATTCATGAAGCATTCCATATTTTTTTCTCCACAATTCTTTAGTCTTTCAGTTTTAATTTTTTTCTCTTTCCTTTTCAACCAATTTCTAATTTCATCAGCTCTTTTAAAAATCTTTTTCAATTTTCAATTTTACGGTTACATTCTATCCTTTCACTGTATTTAATTTCATTTTTGTATATGTGTATGTTTTTCTTTCTTTACAATTTTGAGATGTAGTTTCTTTAACAAACCAACCAAAATACACTCAGGATATAGTGTATTGCTCTGTTCACCTGTTTGTTTATATTCCTTCTTTTGTTTTTTTCCTGTCTTTTTTTATTGTCTTTTAAATTTCATATATATGGTTATATTCTATCTTACATTGTATTTAATTTTATTCTTATACATATATAAGTTTTTCTTTAAATTTTGGGATCTAGTTTTCTAATGAAAGGACCGAAATACACACAGGATCCAGTGTATTGCTCTATTCTGTTCACCTGTCTGATTATATTCTCTCTCTCTCTAATTTTTCTTTTGGTTTTGGGATAAATGAGGCAGAAGAGAGAAACAGTGATATAAAAGAGAAAACGGAGAATAAAGAAGCTGAGAAAAAGAGAGATAAACTACTAATGGATCATGAGGGGAGAATTCTAGATACAAGTGATACCATAAAGTGAAACAATATAGAATAATTGGGATCCCAGAAGAAGAGGAGAGAGAGAAGGGCAGAAGGTATATTGGAACAAATTATAGCAGAGAACTTACCTAAACTGGGGAACATAACAGGCATCCAAGTCCAGGAGACACAGAGAACCTCCTTCAAAATCAATAAAAATTTATCAACACCCGACATACAATAGTGAAACTTACAAATCTCAGAGACAAAGAGAAAATCCTGAAAGCAGATCAGGACAAGAGGTCCATAACCTACAAGGGTAGAAACATTAGACTGGCAGCAGACCTATCCACAAAGACCTGGAAGGCCAAAGACTGGTATATTGATATATTGAATATATATTGAATATATGATATATTCAAGGTGCTAAATGAGAAAAATATATAGCCAAGAATATTTTATCCAACTAGAATGTCATTCAAAATAGAAGGAGAGATAAAAAACCTTCCAGGAAAAACAGAAACTAAAAGAATTTGTAATCAGCAAACCAGCCCTACAAGAAATATTAAAAGGGATTCTTTAAGCTAAGAGAGAGCCTAAAAGTAACATAGACCAGAAAGGAACACAGGCAATATACAGTAACAGTCACCTTGCAGGCAATACAATGGCACTACATTCACATCTTTCAATAGTTACTCTGAATGTAAAGGGGCTAAATACCCCAATCAAAAGACAGAGGGTATCAGATTGGATAAAAAAGCAAGATCCATCGATATGCTGTCTGCAAGAGACTCATTTTAGACCCAGTCACCGCCAGATTGAAAGTGAGGGGGTGGAAAACCATTTACCATGCTAATGGACACCAAAAGAAAGCTGGGGTGGCAATCCTTATATCAGACAAATTAGATTTTAAACCAAAGACTATAATAAGAGATGAGGAAGGACACTATATCATACTTAAAGGGTCTATCCAACAAGAAGATCTAACAATTGTAAATATCTATGCCCCTAATATGGGAGCAGCCAATTATATAAGCCAATTAATAACAAAATTAAAGAAACACATCAATAATAATACAATAATAGTAGGGGATTTAACACCCTACTCATTGCAATGGACAGATCATCTAAGTAGAAGATCAACAAGGAAGCAAGGACTTTGAATGACAGTGGACCAGATGGACTCCATAGATACATTCAGAACATTCCATCCTAAAGCAACAGAATACACATTCTTCTTGAATGCACATGGAACATTTTCCAGAATAGATCACATACTGGGTCACAAAGCAGGTCTCAACCAGTCCCAAAAGATTGGGATCATTCCCTGCATATTTTTGAACCACAATGCTTTGAAAATGGAACTCAATCACAAGAGAAAATTTGGAAAGAACTCAAATACATGGAGGCTAAAGAGCATCCTACTGAAGAATGAATGGGTCAACCAGGAAATTAAAGAATTTTAAAAATTCATGGAAACAAATGAAAATGAAAACACAACTGTTCAAGATCTTTGGATGCAACAAAGGTGGTCCTGAGAGCATATAGAATACACACCTTTCTCAAGAAGGAAGAAAGGTCTCAAATACACAGCCTAACCTTACACCTAAAGGAGATGGAGAAAGAACAGTAAATAAATCCTAAACTCAGCAGAAGAGAATTAATAAAGATTAGAGCAGGAATCAATGAAATAGAAACCAAAAGAACAGTAGAACAGATAACGAAACTAGGAGCTGGTTCTTTGAGAGAATTAATATGATTGATAAACCCCTGCCCAGACTTACCAAAAAGAAAAGAGAAATGACCCAAATAATTAAAATCATGAATGAAAGAGGAGAGATCACAACCAACACCAAAGAGATACAAACAATTATAAGAACATATTATGAGCAACTATATGCCAGCAAATTAGATAATCTGGAAGAAATGGATGCATTCCTAGAGATGTATCAACTACCAAAACTGAACCAGGAAGAAATAGAAAACCTGAACAGACCCATAACCACTAAGGAAATTGAAGCAGTCATCAAAAATCTTCCAACAAACAAGAGCCCAGGGCCAGATGGCTTCCCCAGGGGAATTCTACCAAACATTTAAAGAAGAAATAACACCTATTCTTTTGAAGCTGTTTTATAAAATAGAAATGGAAGGAAAACTTCCAAAGTTTTTCCATGAGGCCAGCATTATCTTGATCCCAAAACCAGACAAAGACCCCATCAAAAAGAAGAATTAGAGACCAATATCCCTGATGAACATGGATGCAAAAATTCTCACCAAGATACTAGCCAGTAGGATCAAAGAGTACATTCAAAGGGTTATTCACTACAACCACGTGGGATTTATTCCTAGGCTGCAAGGGTGGTTCCACATCTGCAAATCAGGCAATATGATACACTACATAAATAAAAGAAAGGACAAGAACCATATGATCCTATCAATAGATGCAGAAAAAACCTTTTACAAAGTACAGCATCCTTTCTTGATTAAAACTCTTCACATTGTAGGGATAGATGGATCATACCTCATTATCATAGAAGCCATTTATGAAAAGCTCACAGAGAATATCATTTTGAGAGTTATCAAATATCAAACTGAGAGTATTTCCCCTAAGGTGAAGAACATGGCACAGATGTCCACTATCACCACTACTGTTCAATATAGTACCTGAAGTCCTAGCCTCAGCAATAAGACAACAAAAATAAATAAAAAGCATCTGAATTGGCAAAGAAGAAGTCAAACCCTCATTCTTTGCAGATGACATGATACTCTCTGTGGAAAACCCAAAAGACTTCACCCCAAAATTGCTAGAACTCATACAGGAATTCAGCAAAGTCACAGGATATAAAATCAATGCACAGAAATCACTTGCATTTCTATACATTACCAGTGAGACAGAAGAGAGAGAAATTAAAGAGTTGATCCCATTTACAGTTGCACCAAAAACCATAAGATACCTAGAGGCAAGGGATCTATACTCAGAAAACTATGGAATACTCATGAAAGAAATTGAGGAAGACACAACGAAATGGAAAAACGTTCCATGCTCATGGATTAGAAGAACAAATATTGTTAAAATGTCTGTGCTACCTAGAGCAATCTATACATTCAGTGCAATCCCTATCAAAATACCATCACCTTTTCTCAAAGAAATGGAGCAAGTAATCCTAAAATTTGTATGGGACCAGAAAAGACCCTGAATAGCCAGAGGAATGTTGAAAAAGAAAACCAAAGCGGCGGCATCACAATTCCTTACTTCAAGCTCTATTACATACTGTAATCGAGACAGTATGGTGTACTGGCACAAAAACAGACACATAGATCAATGGGACAAAATAGAGAACCCAGAAATGGACCCTAAACTCTATAGTCAACTAATCTTCCACAAAGAATTTGGAAAGAATGTCCAATGGAAAAAAGACAGTCTCTTTAACAAATGGTGCTGGGAAAATTGGACAGCCACATGAAGAAGAATGAAATTGGACCATTTCCTTACACCATACACAAAAATAGACTCAAAATGGATGAAAGACCTAAATGTGAGACAGGAATCCATCAAAATCCTGGAGGGGAACCTCTTCGACCTCAGCCACAGCAACTTCTTGATAGACACATCTTCAAAGACAAGGGAAACAAAGGCAAAAATGAACTATTGGGACTTCATCAAGATAAAAAGCTTTTGCAAAGCAAAGGAAAAAGTCAACAAAACCAAAAGACAACCGACAGAATGGGAGAAGATATTTGCAAATGACATATCAGATAAAGGGCTAGTATCCAAAATCTATAAAGAACTTATCAAACTCAACACCCAAAGAACAAATAATTCAGTCAAGAAAGACACGAACAGACATTTCTCCAAAGAAGACATACAAATGGCCAACAGACACATGAAAAAGTACTCAACAACACTCAGCATCAGAGAAATACAAATCAAAACCACAATGAGATACCACCTCACACCAGTCAGAATGGCTAAAATTAACAAGTCAGGAAATGACAGATGTTGGCGAGGATGCGGAGAAAGGGGAACCCTCCTACACTGTTGGTGGGAATGCAAGCTGGTGCAGCCACTCTAGAAAACAGTATGGAGGTTCCTCAAAAAGTTGAGAATAGAGCTACCCTATGACCCAGCAATTGCAGTACTGGGTATTTACCCCAAAAATACAAATGTAGTGATCTGAAGGGGCATTTGCACCCCAATGTTTATAGCAGCAATGTCCACAATAGCCAAACTATGGAAAGAGCCCAGATGTCCATTGACAGATGAATGGATAAAGAAGAAGTGGTATATATGTACAATGGAATACTACTCAGCCATCAAAAAACCCAAAATCTTGCCATTTGCAACAATGTGGATGGAATTAGAGGCTATCATGCTAAGCAAAATAAGTCAATCAGAGAAAGACAATTAGCATATGATCTCACTTAT